ATAATAATAAAATGAATAATTAATAATAATAATAATAATAATAACACAAGTTATACAGACCTGATCCTTGAGTTAAACACATGTAGCATATGGAGTAGTCCGATCAACAACATTACAACACTGCCCTCGTGAGAAAATTCGAGGGACTTACAAAATGTCCACCCGAGGCCAAAATGTGACGTTCAAACTACGCTTGCAAAAGATGAAAGTCCGAGACATCCCCCGAACTCTGAAGTTGGCAAAATTAGCATCACCCGCAATCATTTCCTCTTCCTCAAGCTCACTTTTGTTACACAGTGGAAAATATCAACAAAGCCTCGCAAAAACATATTAAAGTATTTAAATATATTTTTTTAAACTTCAATATTCTTTTAAAATGAAGTCAACAGCTCAAAAGTCGCAAAATAAATTTTTTGGAGGTAAAGCTAGTTGACAAACTTTTTTCTTTCCCGCAATAAATCTGATTCAAACGCGGCCCAAAAAAAAAAAAAAACATTAATCAAAGCCAGTGTTTTTAAATGGAGTTTTGTGTGTGTACATGTGCCTACATGCGTGTACGTCTCGTAAGAAGTGGGCGAGTTCCAAAAAGGATCCAGTTATCTTCAGTCTACATGCTGAAACATCGCCGACACTCACACACAACAAGCAGAGAAACAAGTAAGGCTTTCCCTTATTTTAGCTAATTCGTCACACGTGATGTTTCAAGTTTTTTTGTTGCATTTGAGGTGCCGCTGCCGCATTGATTAGTTGAAATCACTCCACTTGTTGCGCTTATTTTTAATTGTAATGCAATGCCATGTACAATTTGTATGGAGCTGTGACATCGGGAAAAACGTATTCTTATTACCGTATTTCATTCATCAGCGTGGATAAAGTAAAAAAATATAAATATATACATGAATAAACTGTATTTGAATTGCAAAAATGGTTTTCGAGCAGCTTTTGTTGACAACTCAGTATTTAAAGGGCAGCGGTTTTCATTCCCTCGCAGAGCAAGTTGTCTTGCCTTGATAAGAGACTTGAAGTGGTGTGAGGGTCTTTATCTCAATCGACATTTGCAGCACCGGTGTTCTTTTTTTTTTTGAACCCACGCACAAGCTTAAGTTATTTCATCCCATGAAAGGGAAAAAGAAAGGAGATCGTTGCACAACTTACAGTGCATGTACGTTTTCCACGCGTCCACATGACACTGAGGCACTCGGTTGCTCTGCCGCCATACATTTGGATCGAACCATCTATGGAAATAAGCGTTGATGCTATCAAAGCGGCACACGCGTCAAGTCAAAGAATCGTTCAGAAAAGAGCTAAGAAGCCTTCCAAGAAGCATTTTCCCATGGCGACGTTGCATCACTTGTTGCTACGCAGAGCTCATGAAACGCAAGGATCGGTGGCCCCGTCGTCCAACTTTAAATACATGAATATGCCATTCATGCGAAGTATAGCCGTTTGAATGGAAACCAGAGGTAGTGGAGCAGTTTGCTGGACAGCGAGTCAGCATGATTGACTCATTGCCACATTTCCACACCTTATTCCAGCCTCACCCAAGGAGCTGAAAGTCAGCACCAGCTGAGCAGCACATAAACCGCAAGCTGAATGATCGACTTGTCTTCCAGCGACTCAACTCGAGCATCAGGAGCCATGGATGATAACTCAAAGCCAGAAGCCGAAGCAGTGGCGGGGACATCGGCGGAGGGGACGTCCCCGGAGTGGACGTTGGAGGCGGACAACAGCCAAGTCGACGACAACCCGGCGACTCTTGAGGTGACGGCCGAGGGTTTGAACGAGCTGATGAGGAGCATGGAGACCATGCTGTCGGATGTGGAGGAGCTGAGGAGCCAGTGCAGCATCCAGGCCAAAGAGCTACTCGAAGCCGCCATGGAGCTGAAGCAACAGCAGGATGAGCTGAAGGAGAGCTACAAAGATCTGGCGGCGGATATGCAAGAGATCATGGACGCCATGGACGACCTGTGCATCAGCAAGAGTGCCTTCGAGGCCAGAGAGAAGGACATGGAGAAGCTGAACGAGGAGTTTTGAAGGACGCAAAGTGACGTCGGGCTTTGTGGGCGAAGAATGAGGGGCTGTGGTTTAATTATTTGAATGTGTGAGCTGAAGCGCGTTGATTATTGTTTGGAACTCTAAAAACGGCATGATGAGCATATGACTTCCATTTCGGGCAACAGTAAAATGAACGACTGCTCATTTCGTATTCCATATTTGTGTGTTAGTAACTATATCAGCCCAAATTGTTCTCTTTATTGCTTTTCAGAAACTATTTGTTTTTAATTCAAATAAACATTGAACAGTATCATTTGAAATGACCTTTTTTTGTAAGCTAAAACAGCTTTTCTCGTGCATATACAAAAATACGTTTTTTAACCCTTTCAGGGACAGTGGTTACTACAGTGGACATCTTATGTTATCAAGTTACAGGGTGCACGAAAGGGATAAATCCGGTTCATCTATTAATGGACAAAATAAACGACAGATGATTTAATAATCAATCCGTATAAATGTTTGTTGCAGTCCTATTAAATATGCTATTCAAAAATAATTTTTCCTCCTGATTATTGTTACTATAGGGGACTATTTTTGTTCGAAATCATCGCTTTGCACTCAACACCTCAAACATGAGTCCTCGGATCATAAAGACCCCATTTACACGTGAGTGTCATCTTAAACCACATGATTATCTGCTAAGGAAAAAAATATATATATATTGCCTTAGAGTGGTCAATTCAAAAGTGCATGACTGTGTCTGCGCCTACTTTGCTGTAGTTATCTTTGGAATTAAATGGTAACCTACCTCCCATTCTTAGGTATGGATGTTGTCTGGATGGGGTCACTGCCGCTAACGGATTTGGGAGAGCCAGATGTCCGGAATACCGTACCACAGTGGTATGAAGAATGCTTCCGTTTATATTCTGTTAAGAAAAGATAATAACTGGTCAATTGAAATCCTGGGCGTCTCATCATGCCTTAAAACAAACAACAACAAAAACCTTCCCAATTTTTGCTAGTGCTTGCATCCTGGTAGAAATGAAAATAAGTGTCCCAAACATGACCACCCGGAATTCACTCACTGGCATCCCCTGGAAAGCCAAAAGCAAATTTGCCTTTGACACTAGTTTCATCAAACCAACTTGGAGATTCGGTCGATCATTACAAGAGCCACAAAAAGAGTCTCAAGAAGCCATGAACAAAATGAAACAGGAAGTCAGACATTTTGTTTTCAAGTAGCCATTTTGGATAACCTCCGAGGCTTTACTTTGACAAAGTGGAATTTGCCCGATTCGACAGATGCGGGCTAAATCAGAAAGCTCTTTTGTGTTTACCTTTTAACGTGAGTGAAGAATGACAATCGTATTTTTTTTTTTTTTTCATTTTAAGGATTCACCATGAAAAAGGGCCTCACAGTTTTGTTTAGCTTATTGTGCTCATCTGTTGAGCAATATGATGCAAATTTGAACTGGATTTATTTCCACTTAAATTAATCTCCCACTGCAGATGTGATTCATACTGTATTTACCTTGTCCTTCGCAGCACTGGGGAGATCCAGCCACTCTTGCTCCACAGACCATATGCTCCCTGCCACGTGACAAGGGCCCCTGCAATACCTGGAAAAGACGATTCTATTTCAATGCAAGCATCGGCGAATGTAAAGAGTTTGGGTTTGGAAGATGCCAGGGCAACGCGAACAACTTTGCTTCTCTTGGAGAGTGTCAGAGAGCATGTGAGGCCACACCCGAAAAATGTAAATGCTGAATTTGTGCACGATATGATTGAGGTGACACACAGTGCGCATTTGTACTGTATAGAGTTACAAGGCCTCCTTTCATTCGACTTTGCATGAAAAACATGTCAAGAATTTGTTCATATAATAAAAAATGGATTTGTCCTATTGTTTTTTTTTTTGTGAATTGTGGCTCATGTGCAAGGGACAAAATAAAGCAACATGATTTCACACATTAAATGTGATACATTTTCTGCCATGTATTTTACTTTGAAGGGTTTTACATCACTTTATTTCGCTAATCGCTTGTCCTCACTTGTCGCTACTGACTGAACTTGGGCCTCTGCCCGCTACTGACTGAACTTGGGCCTCTGCCGCTTACACTCTGGAGTAATTGCACACATTAGCAAAGCTGTGATTGGAGTCGAATTCGCTCGGCGACGCAAATTCTGCTTTTGAAAAGACGCAAAAAGTTTGTACTACTGGCATGGAGGTACGCGAATCTTCAAAGCAGCCCAGAAACGGATAAATGTCCCTGATAAACCCACTTAAGGGTGATTGCTCGACAGCTAATGGCGACAACCGCCATTGTATTACTCACGGCAAAACAAACGATTCCAGACACCCGACACATCACGCTGAAATAACCAATTCACAGCCAACCTACTGTAATCAAGGTAAAATAACCAAAATAACTCTTTGGAAAGTCAAGTTTACTTACCTTTATATCACCTTTCCTTGACCTTTGTTGGATGATGTCATCGTTAGCACCGATACAAATGAAATCGACTCAATTTTTCCCAAGACGTCATCTTTCGGCGGCAAGAATTGCAGACATAGATCTCGAGCTTGCCGACTTTACCTTAAAAATATTAGTTTAATAATAAAATGGAAAAAAAGATACAGGTACTAATTGTTGTTGCGAAAATTCACTGTTGATTTTTTTCATTATTTTTGGAATTGCCCATTCTCCAAGAACTAATGAAGTGTGTTTGTGGTTAGGCGTCAGAGGTCGACGCCTGCATTCGAGATTTTGAAGGCATTGGTCGAAATATGATTGGCGATAATAAAAAAATATATAAATAATCCATAAACGACTGGAAATCGCGCGGCCAACACACAAGCTATTAAATGAAGACAAAACACTGCTGGAAATAAATTATTACCACTGCATTTAAAATGGAAATGTAGGTAGGTCTGTGCTCCTGGAAAATAATACTGTACAGGGAAATTCGGGGCTCTAAACGTTTTATTTTGAAACCCTTTCGCTTCATACCGGAAATGACATCTCTTCCCCTCGCGATCTTGCCGTAAACAGCTCCAAAGCACAAGACATTCGTCAAGCATAGAGTGTTGTTTCATCCCAAATTTTTCGTACCAGAATTTAAACTAGGATTCAATTTAACACGAACATGGTGAGTGATTTATCTTGTTTTATGCTTGAACAAATAAATGTGCACCCCAGTCAATCGGATGGGCAGCTGCAGCCAAGCTAACGAGCTAGCCGGGTAACTGAGTCAAACGTGCTTCGGCAAACGTAAAAATCACCAAACAAAGTAATATTGTTTTTGTATTGATCATACTTACATTTTTGTGGCATTCATATCACCTTTCATCTCCCAGTCGCACACGATCCTGTTGGTTCAGCCCACCAAGAGACCCGAAGGCCGGACATACGCTGACTACGAGTCGGTGAATGAATGCATGGAAGGTCTGGACGCTTTACCGTCAAAACCTCTTAACTCGCTATAAAACTACCCGTGGCTTATCTTGAGCGAGAAAAGTTTGCAAATTTCCTGCTATTTTGTAATTGTCTCAACCAAAATGCTATTCAAAGTCCATATCGCACAGTTTTTAAACACCTGCATCTTTCTCACAGGTGTGTGCAAAATGTACGAAGAGCATCTCAAGAGGATGAACCCCAACAGCCCCTCCATCACATACGATATTAGCCAGTTGTTTGACTTCATTGACGACTTGGCAGACCTGAGCTGTCTTGTGTAAGTGTTTCAAGTGTGAATTTGCATTCCTACAAATTTTGAACGTGGCCTTTTTTTCAGTTACAGAGCAGACACCCAAACATACCAGCCGTACAACAAAGACTGGATCAAGGAGAAGATTTACGTCCTGTTGAGACGTCAAGCTCACCAAGCAGGGAAGTAGTGAGACCGATGTCACCGTTGTCCTTCGCTACACATCCCAAAGGAGTCGAATGAAACACAGCTACATTTCGAAAACTTCTCTTGAGATTTGTGTGATAAGAGGACAAGGGGATACTTTAAATGAGAGGATGTCCATTTTGTTTTCGGGGACGGTCTGGGTCACCTGGCGGTGGCCCTTTGGTTTCTAACTGAGTTAACTTTTTTTTTTTTTTTTCTTTCTAACTTGCTGTTCTCAGTAACGCGTCCAAGCCAGTTTCCGTGCTGTGGAATTTCAATTAAAATTGTTATGGAGTGACGACACAAAGGGGATACTTTAAATGAGAGGATGTCCATTTTGTTTTCGGGGACGGTCTGGGTCACCTGGCGGTGGCCCTTTGGTTTCTGACTGAGTGAACTTTTTTTTTATTTTTTTCTAACTTGCTATTCTCAGTAACTCGTCCAAGCCAGTTTCAGTGCTGTGGAATTTCAATTAAAATTGTTATGGAGTGACGACACAAAATTTACAAGAGTTGTATTTTTTTTTTGTTATTCTGACTACTGTGGTTACTATAGTGACACTTAATGCTGTTTTTTTTTCTTTTTTGTAAACTTTTTTTTTTTTACATAATGTATCGGACTCCTTTGATTCAAACATCATCATTTTGGCTTTGGAACTGTTCTTTAATAAACAACTTGAAAGCGATCACACTTTTTGCAATCTGTGCCCCCGTGCGTACATCGTTGAATGAATTCGTCCAAAATGCACTCATGCTAGATGGGAAAATACTTCTGTTATTATGTTATCCCTGTTGCATGAATATTGTTGCTAAATGAACGCTGGATTATGGAAGTATTGTACATTAACAGGTGTCACAATATTTTCAAATGCAAAGAAGGTGACTCCTGGTTAGTGAGAAACCCAACAGAGGGAACAGCAATCACAAATTTCTCAATTGCGAGACTAATAAAGGCGATTGTTCTTCCATTGTCTTAAAAAAATGTTCTCATAAGATTTTTTTCAATCAGAATATTTTGTTGGAAGGGGAAAAAAAAAACCTCATAGCATTACTCCCTCCCACCACCCACAAATCAAAATCAATTGACGCCTTTCTTGAAAGTAGGCCGCTTTTTAATTTCGTCACGGGGTAGTTATATTTAACCTTTTCAGGGACAGCGGTTACGACAGTGGACAGCTTATCATGGTATCAATTCTGCTGGACGAGAGCCCGTTCATGTTTACAGGAAATGGATGCGGAATGTTAAGTTTGAAGCGCAACAAGAAGGCCCCGGCAATGACACTTAACCAATAAGCACTCGCTTACACTGAAGGGATCAACAATGCGCCATCAGAGCCTCTCCACGCACATGGCGATGCCCATGCCTCCTCCGATGCACAGGGACGCCACGCCCGTCCTGCCGCCGGTCCTTTGGAGCGCGTGCAGCAGCGTCACCAGAACCCTGCAGCCCGACATGCCGATGGGATGACCCAGTGAGATGGCGCCGCCGTTCACGTTCACCTGCAGCGGGAAATTGTGTTTCGCGGTGCCACATCGAGTCTCATTTCTTGATTTGAAAAAGGTACCTTTTCTTCTTTCAGTCCGAGCTCTTTAACAACGGCAACGGACTGCGCGGCAAAGGCCTCGTTGATCTCGAAGAGATCGACCTGATCCAGTTGCCACCCTGCCTTCTCGACCTAAAATAAGAAAGACATTTTTTTTTGGGTGGCAAGAAATGGTCAAGATGAAGATTGAATGTAAAGCTTCCACTTCTCACTGCTTTCCTGATGGCGGGTATGGGCCCGGTGCCCATGACGGACGGGTCGAGCCCGGCTTGAGCCCACGACACAATTCTGGCCATGGCCCACAGGCCCCGCCTTGAGGCCTCCGATTGGCTCATGAGCACGGCGGCGGCCGCGCCGTCGTTAATACCTACGGCGTGAGGAGGGAGGTTGGCAAATATCCCGTTCCAAGAGTTTATTTGTGTGCGACGTCACGCTCACCTGAAGCGTTGCCGGCGGTGACGGTACCGCTGGCGTCTTTAATGAAACACGGCCTAAGTTTGGACATGCTCTCGAGACTGCTGCCGTGCCGAGGGAATTCGTCCGCCTTCACCTCCTCCGTGCCTGAAGAAGTTTGATAAGTTTTCTTTTTTTTTTTTTAATGCTTCCTTTTAGTTTAGTTTTCATGAGCAATGTTTGAATATCATTATCTTTGTCTTATGTCCCAGTGTATAAAAATAATCATCATCAGTGCGAAACAGTGAAATGCTCAAGTTGTTACGTGCCTTTCCTGGACGGAACCACAACTGGGACAATCTCCTGAAGGAAGTATCCCGCTTTCTGCGCCACTTCCGCCTTATTCTGCGAGCGGACGGCGAAGACGTCCTGCGCCTCTCGACTGACGTCCCACTGCTTGGCCACATTCTCCGCTGAGGGGCGGGGACACACACACATCACATATTCATGCCAAAAAATGTTTTACAATTATTATCTTGGTCTCTTTTTTTAAAAATATATATTACAAAAAACATTTAAACAGGGGGTGTGTAGACTTTTTATATCCACTGCATATGATTTCAATCATTTCGCACCGCCACAACCGCCACACCTGTGATGCCCATGTGGTAGCCGTGAAAAGCGTCGGTCAAACCGTCGGCCAACATGGAGTCCTGCAGGGATGCGTCGCCCATTTTCACTCCGGCCCGCATGTGCAACACGTGAGGAGCCTGAAGAGGGAAAACAATTCACGTGATGTCACGCAACTCCTTCCCGGTTTTGATGAAAGAACAATACGTATTTTTTTTCCAAACATTTTTTTTCAGTGAATCACTTGATTAGTGTCGTTTGTAGTACTAGAAAAGTGAGTTTTACAAGGGTCCATAAAACAACGAGAGAGCATGTGTAGACTGTAGGGTTTTTTTTCTACTATGTTGTCAGCCACTGCAATCCTCACCCTGCTCATACTCTCCATGCCTCCTGCCACCACCACAGTGGACTCCCCGGTCTGGATGGACTGAGCTCCCAAACACACAGCTTTCAGCCCAGAGCCGCACACCATCTGGCAGCTCCAGGCTGGGACCGAGTAGGGAATGCCTGCACCGACGCTGGCCTGACGTGCCGGGTTCTGCCCGTGCCCTCCGAGACAGATGGCAAAGAAAATATTAGTGAGTGGATGTTCACCACGCCAACTTGGCCACTGGTGGTACCTGCCGTCAGGACGTGCCCCATGATGACCTCGGACACGTCTTCTGGTTGCACTGCAGCCCGCTTTAGGACATCCTTTATCACCACAGAACACAGATCATGCAAAGGCACCGTGGACAGAGAACCGTTCAAGGACCCTTTAGTGGGAAAAATGGAAATGTAACACATGGATTCTGTTATGTGTGAGGGCAGGGTCGTTGCTCATCCTAGTACATCTTAGAAATATTATACGATTGTTGTTGTTGTTTTTTTTTTTTTTTTAATCAAGGAAGAGAGAACTTGAAATATAATTGTTTGCATTAGATAGGAACCGCAAATGAATATATACTGTAAAGTATGCCAATTCATAAATATTAAACTGTGACACAAAACATATAATATTTATATTTCACATAATATGATTGGTTTAACATTAACATTTTTTTCCTTTCACAAAACGCAAAAACCAAACAGTTGCTATCAGTCATCTCGAACGTCAATAATTTCCTGGTCCAATGTGCTCGCATGTTGTCAGTAACCAATCACATCGTGTCATTTCCGTGGCCCTGTGAATATTCACCAATCACAGCCTTCGACACAGAGCGGACACTCAGATGCAGCCAATAAAAACACAGCGTGACCGAACGTCATGAATTCACTAATTTCAATCCAGCTGAAAAAAAAACATTTTATTTCAATATAACGACACAATTTAATACGATTAACGTTGGATTTCGAGTTAGCTTCAAGGCGAATCGGTTGAGAGGACGACGAGCCACAGTTAAGATGAACTCAATGAGAAAAATACTTAAAATGGAGGAGGAAGTGAGTGGCTTTTAAATGAATGAGAGTGGTGTGGAAAGTGTGTGTACTTTACCAATTGGTGTCCGCGCGGCAGAGACGATGACAACAGGATCCTTATTCATGTCGATGAAATGTTGCCTTGGATGCATTCAACTGCTTGCTTTGACTGGCTGTCCTGTCCTGTTGTGGGCAAACTTGCAGCAGATCCTGTTGACACAGCTGCTGTCATTGGAGTGGAAAGGCACGCCAGCGACATCAGGTGTTGTGGAGGTGGTAGCGCTCGTTATAAATCCAAGCACATACCTTTTGTCGTAAAAAAATATATAAACACCAGTTTATTGGAACAATAACACTTTATAATAATCTGATAAAGCAGCTAGCCTGTTTTTCAGCAATGAATGCGTTTCATGTCAATGTATTGATCAAGAGTAATTAATAAGTGGCTTTTCCTTTGTATTAAAATTCTTTATTGGTATTTGGTCAGTACATGAAAAGGACTGGAGTCCAAATATGAACATCTCTTAGAAACTACTCACAGAATCTTTTGAACTTTTTTTTTTCAAATGAAAGTTTAAAATTGAAATAAAAAATAAGAACACAGGTCAAGAGCTTAAGTGAGATGTTTATGCCGCTTAATTATTGGACTTGACGAATTACAACAGCGGATGTGAGTGGCCAACTCAAATCAACAGCAGAATGAAACATACTAAGGTTGATGATGAGTTTTTTTTGTTTTGTTTGAAATGAAACATCCACTCAATTGTGTCGAACATCAACCATTTCCCATGTTCCCAAATGTGTTTCACAAGAAGCAAAAGGGTAAGGGTAGGAAAACAAAATGCCTGACAGCAATTCTGCATTACACACTATGCATTTGTCATCGTGTTCTGTATTTAAAAAAAAAAAAAAAGAAGGGAAAAAAAAACAAGAAAAAAGGAAAGAGACCCCTCCAAGGGTACATTACAAAACGGCGCCGTCGCTTGTGGTGGAGTCCAGGCCGTTTTGAGCGTGCCGTGAAGTCCTGGTGCCCTTGGTGACCTGGGCAGCAGCCTTGTCCTCGTGGGGGTCAGTGGTGGAGTCCGTGTCGTTCGAGTGCTGAGTCAATGAGGTCTCGCTGCCCGTCGGAGAGTCCACGCTCTCGTACCCTGCGCTCAAAGCGACGGGCGCCCCCGCCCGGCCGCCGTGGCTCCCCGACACCTCCTCCGAGTGGTTGGACAGTTTGGTCTCGGCTTCTCCGGGGCTGGACGCCATGGGTGACATGGCAAAGTCTTCGTCGGTACTGCTGACCTCCCGGTACAGGCCGCCGCCTTTCTGGGAAGGGGCCCCCTTGCTGGGCCCGTTGGACACCCTCCCGAAGTCTTTGGCGGCGGGGTCCGAGGGGGCGGCGGTCGACTCGGGCTGGGTGGCCAGCTCGGCGGCGGCTGACGTCCTGCTGGGCCCCGCGGAGACTCCCTGAGGAGGCTGGGTGAGCTGCTGCCGGGTGTCCTTGAGTTGCTGCTGCAGCACTAGGATGGTGCTCTGCATGCCTTCCACCTCCTCATCCAGCTGGATGATGAAGTCATTCAGCTCTATGGGGGGTGTCAACCGGCATCACAACGTCAATAGCACAAAGGGTTCATAGCAGTGATGGACGATGATGAGCAGGAAAACGCCTCCTTGTTTCACTTCACTTATGAGTTTGTCGGCCATCTTAAAATGGCGGTCATGTTGAGAGATGTCAAAATTAACCGGCAACGAATATCTGACCGAAATAGTCAGAATCAGTTTCAAAAAGGTTGGTGAGTACATTCATCGCTCAGGTGACATTACTTAATTGTTTTTTTTTGTCCAACACGAAACATTTCAAAACAAGATTCTAAAAACGATTGGGAGAGTGATTGTCCTTTGTCACGTTCTCACCATCTTGGCTGCTCTTCAGCTCCTCGCTGTACTTCTTCTGCAGCGCCAGCTCGGCCTCCAGCTGGGCGATGCGCCCCTGCGACTGCTGCTTCCCCAGCTCCTGGTTTTCCTGGATCAGCATCCGACACTTGGCCATCAGCTTCTTGCCCGTCTGGCTGCAAGGGAAACAAGGCTGACATCACATGAGGAACAAGTAGACCAAAAAACATGGCGAGGCCAAGGCATCCCAGCGACAACATTCGAAACGACCATCAAATTGAATCAACATAGAGAACGTGGAGAGAAACTGGTCATTTCGGGGGGGGGGGGGGGAAATCAAAAATTTAAAAACACTTTTGGACACAAATAAAACAAAGCCTATGTAAATGGAGAGACTCTTGAGAGTAAACAGATGCAAGCCGGTACACATTTGGATGAAATGTGATGAAATGGTAGTCACCTCAGTACATTCGGTATTCAACACAAGCACAATTTGGCTCCGTCATATTGGCCACATGGTCCCAGAAAAAAAAAAAGGGGGTCAATTGGAACGTGACGAGTTCAAAAAGATTACTGAGGGGGCGGCTTTGTGAGGTCATGGCTTTGAACGTAGCACAAAACAGTCAAAAGAGCCAAAACAATGCTACAACAGTCCTGCCGGTTGTACAATAATATGAATCTTGCACCACAGACATTTCAATATATTAATTAAAAAAAAAAAATTAAATCTGCATTCCCAAAGGAACCAAGTGACTCTTAATGCAGCTGAAAACAATGGATGCTACCGTCCCTGGACCTTTAGCAACTCACAGCGCTTATTGAGGACGTGGGGTTTCAAACCCGAAAGGCGCTGTAGGTCATGTCACTGAATAAGAACGTTAATTCATGGGGGGGGGGGGGG